ACAATTGCTCTCTGAATGGTATTTGAATTCATTATTGCATCTTCACCACTCGTCTCAATCAGTTCAGCATCACATTCTCCCATTATGCCAGACTTTGCCTGCTGTGCCCCCAGACTGCAGTGCCCCCCACTACTTCCTTCCCATCCTCTGAAGCCCACCCTCAGAGCTCCCTCACTGCTGCCATCCTGCTCAGAACCCTCCCAGCACTCCTAGACTGTACTGCACAGGGTAGGTATTATTATCTGTCTGTGCATCCCTTGTGCCGAGGACTGTGCCAGATCCATGCTTGGGCTTAATAAATGTTTGTCGACATGAACTAAACTGAACCCATAAACTAAACTGAACTGATGAGGTAAGGCACGGAAAATGCCCCAGGGGAAGTACAACTTCAGGCTTTCTTCTGGATCTGGGCTTGGAATCAAATGCTCCATCTCTTCTCCTTTTCCCCTATATTCTCTTAGGACTTGGATACTTACAGTGCCCCGGGTCAGCTCTATCCACTCAGTCATGCCCTTCCGCTCGTCTTCACCCTACCATTAACTAAAGCCAGAAAACTAAAAAGAAACACATGGGAGGGGAGGAAAGCCCCAGGGAGGGATGGTCTCTGGGCCTGCCTGGCCAGGGAGCAGCACTTCTTACTTCTCTCTAAACCCTATGAATCATGGGTAATTGTGGCTTCACTTCCTCCCAAGAGAGCAATCTTTCAGCTTCTGCCAGAAGCAGCAGTGGAAGGGGCTAGGGGGCTCTGTCTCTCTAATGAGCCTCTCAGTGTTAATTAGAACATGCTCCTTCTTTTCAGGTTGCTGCAGCGGCTGAGCCTGATGAGGGCTGATGAGAAATGGCGTCCAAGTCAGGGTGTGAGGAGGAAGAACAGCTTGATGGTGGGGGCTCCAGTGGCCTCAGGCCAAGTGCTGTAGAATGCTGGGGACCAAGGCTGGGTGTTGGGGGCTTTCAAACATGAGCAATGATTTCCACTGATCCAAGATTTCTCAATTAAGAACATTAAAGCCTTCCACATTAGGAGGCCTCTGGAACTTGGCAAGGCAAACCCTAACATAAGTCTGAGGCACAGAGAGTCCGGGGAGCTTTGGGGAGGCTCATGGGGTCCAGGAGGAGAGGTCTGGCCTCCACTCATCTTGCAGTTACACTGGTTTTCATCTTTTCTGTGTACCTCCTCCCAGCCCATTGCTCGAAATATGGCGAGTGTTCAACATGGCAGGGCATTGAAGTCTCCCTAGGTACCCTTGGGAACCTCTCCTGACCACAGCCAGGATGGCAGTGGGGGAGAGTTCCATGACTCAACCGCTCCTAGGTCACAGAGAGCCTCAGGTGAGAGCTGCTCCAGGAAGCCTGATTTGAACCCCAGGTTGGACTGCTTGCCCTCTTCAGTGCTCCCATAGCATCTGGCACTGCTCCTACAGAATTTATCCCCTGCACTGTAATAGCAGGAGATAGAAGACAGTGGTTGTTGTTGTTAGGTGCTGTGGAGTCCCCACTGACTCATAGAATGGAAGAAGGTACTAGGTTAAAATCATGGACTGTGGAGTCCAAATGTTGGCTGCACTCCTGAGGAATGTGTCATTGGGAAAGTTACTTAGTATTTCTAAGCCTTGGTTTTCTCATTCCTAAAATGGGGATAGTAATAATACCTATCTCACATGGATTATAGGAGTAATCAAGGCCAAGTACAGGAGTAATGAAGCAAGTAGGAACAACAGAGGTAGAGACGAGAACAGCACATACAAAGTCCCAGAGACATATATGAAACTACTGAGGCTCAGAGAAGTTAAGCAACTTGGCCAAGGCCACACAGCTCATTGGCAGAAGAGACAGAAGTAGAACTCAGTCTCTTGTAAATGTCTGTTGTGCTTTTAATAATCTCAATCCCTTTTTGCCCTCTTGCTCCAACCCTAGTCTATGTCTGGCCAAAGGAGGTAAGCTATTCCCCAAAGCTGGATTCACTTAGCAAGAGTGCCCCAGTTACACTCTCTACCAGTTCTCACCTTTTCTTCCCACTCCTTCTGACCTAACATGAAAGCCCACCTAATAAAATTACTTCCACTATAAAAATTTTTAAAAGTCCGTAGTACCAATCAGAATCCTGCCCATACTCCATATCTCACCCAGCGAATCAGAGTTAAACTAATTCTCCTGCCTTCTGCCCCAAGTCATAGCTCAAGTTTTCTTTGGTGTTATTAAATGGATACTCCTTCATCGAACCATAATCTCTTTGGGAACAGAGAGGGACTATGTTTTTATTCTTTTTGGTACTTTATTTCCTTCTTACTTTTCACACTATATTTACACACACACACACAAAATATTCATTCAGTGAGTTCTTACTATGTCTGCAATACTCTGCTAGATGTTAGGGGAAGGGAAAAAGAGATGCTTTTTATCCTCAAGGAGCAGAGAGTCATGTGGAATTGAGAGGGGTCTCTCACCTGGGTACACTCATCACCCAATCACTCTGTAGTATTCATTTGGCCCTAGCGTGGGAACTCCCAATAAAGAGAGTTAATTCCCTCATGGCAAGACCTATATTTTTTTAACAGCTTTAATTGTTAACTAAGCTGAAATCTTCCCCTCCTATAGCTTTTCTGCATTGGTACCACTATTTTTACCTGGAATAACAGAAAATACATCCAACCTCTTTTTTACATGCCAGCTTTTCCATATTTAAAAATTCTTTCTGTGTCTATAGTTTCTTCACATGACTCCATCCCATCAAGTTTTCCTTCTTCAGAAACCTTAGGACTCTCATCTTCACAATTAAATACAGCCTCCGGAACTGAGTAGATGCTTTAGACAGGCCCTGAAGAGACCAGTGTGGAGCCCATGGCCAGTCCCTCCATTGTTCCAAGATAGATAGATAGATAGATGGATAGACAGACAGATAGCTGCCATCTAGTCTACACAGGGTGGCAACCTTCTGTACAACAGAACTAAACATTACCCAGCCTGTGTCATCCCCTGATCACTAGCATGTTCCTGTCCATCATTAAGGCCACTGAGCCAGTCTATCTCACTGAGGGTCAATCTATCTATCCCTCTTTAGTCCTTTACATCACCAAACAAGATGTCCTCCGCCACCAATTGATCTTTCCTGATGGCATGTCCAAAGCAAGCAGTGGGACAATGTTCTGTTGTGATCCATAAGGTTTTTATTGACTAATTTTGGGCGTAGATCACCAGGCCTTTCTTCCTAGTCTGTCTTAGTCTGGAAGCTCTGCTGAAACCTTTCCACCATGCTGATATTCGAAATACTAATGGCATAGCTTCCAGCATCATAGCAACATGTTGCAAGCCACCGCAGTACAACAAACTGACAGACAGGTGGTAAAAGGGCTTCAGTAACCCTCTGGGAAGGCCACTAAAGGCTGTACTCACTGCTTTGGGAGCTGCTTCACTGGCTGTTGGCTCTTCTTAAGCTTACAGTCAACTGAAACTCTAAGGCCTTTATCCCAGGACCAAGCTTACCTATTTCATACTAGTGTCAGCAGCTTTTCAAAGCTAAATGCTGAACTTTAGATTTCCCTCTGTTTCATTTGAATTTTTTCATTTAAATAATCTTTCTGTCCTGATAAGATTTCTTCTTTAAAATCTTGAATTTTATCATCAAAGTATTAGCTGTCCCCTTTCAGCTTTGTGTCATCGGACAGTTTGGTAAATGCAACCAACCCTGTCTTGTCAAAATGGTTGAACTAGGCAGGACCAAGGACAGCGTTCTACTCAGCTTCCCTGGAATTGACACTAATAGAAAAAGCAACATTTTAAAAATAACTCTGACAACTCACCTGACTAGACCATATTTATCTAATCCGTATTTCCCCACCGTACTCACAAGTATATCATGGGATATTCTGTCAAATACTTTAATGAAAGCCAAATGCCCTGCCTACTGCTGGCCCTAATCCAGGATAATATGTTGGTATTGGTGCCAAAAACAGAAATGTGGTTATCTGTCTGGAGTCAATCTTGGTGATCTTTTTACCAGATTTTCTTCCCAAGATCCACTTTGTCCACTGAGCTAAAAAAATAGTTCTTTATAATTTATTCATCCTAGAGCAAGAAAGAACCATGGAGGCGATTCAAGGTCTAATTTCTAATTTTGCTGATGAGGAAACCAATGCCCAGAATGTTTAATTGGCATCCCCAAAGTCAGAGTTTAATTAGAGGAAGAACAAGAATTGGATCCCATATCTATGTCTCCAAGTTCAATGTTCCTTCTCAACAGTAGCACACTGCAAAATCTTTCTCTATGTGTGCATGGCCACACACGTGCACACACACACACACACACACACACACACGGCACCTCATTGTCCACCAAGCCAAATCCTAACATTATTATTATTATTTAGGTTTAATAGGGACCCCATGACTGATCACTTTCCCCTCCTACTTCACAGAATAGAAGACACTAGTCTAAGACCCTTCTATGGGTTTGGGCCCCTATTGTAGGGGAGCTTTGCCTTCCAACCCAGTCTGGTTTAAAGTTGGGAATTCTAAGTCTACCTGGAGGAAACCACTGTACTCACACCTCACTTGAGCCTGTGCGTGCCTAGGCATGAAGCTTACACTTTGGGTGGGCATTCAGCTGGGCTATCTCTTCTAAGCCTTGAGTGGAGGTGGGGACTTGCCCAGAGAACAATGGGCCACATGCCTAGTGATCTGTGGGGCAGTTTAGGCTCTTCGTGAATTCTGAGAGAAGTAGAGCCCCTGACTAAACAGTCCAATGGCCTGGGATTGCAAAGGTGTGTTCCTGCCATATAAAAGCCCTGAATTGGAATTATGCAGTGGCCTGTGGCTGGATGCCAGAGGATCTGGGCCATAGGGAAGGGTAGATTAAAAGACTCAGTTTGGATGAACTAGTGGCAAATTAGGTGTGCCTGAAGCAGGGGTGGGCCAGATGGGGAGATATCTGGTACTCTGGATAGCCCCCGAAGGCAAGTCCCCTCACCACCCTCCCTGCCCACCCCCTTGGAGGCCCTGGGTACCTGTTTATTCTTTAGGTCAAGGGAGAGTTCGTAATCGGAGGCGGCAGGGGTGTGGGAGCAGAGCGCCGTCGCCAGAGCAGGCTGCTGCTGGCCAGGGGAGGCTGTGCAGTGGGGTCCAGCCCGTGGGGAGGCACCCCCCGCCCCTGGCCGCTCCTCCTCCTCCTGCAGCTCCTGGGCTTGAGCCTTCGGGGCATGGGCACTGGGTCTGCTGGCTGCCACCGCCGCCGCTGCCACCACGGAGTCCTCCATGCCCCCACTGGCCTGGGCGCAGGAGCCGTCACTGTGAACAAAAGGCAACGGTGCTCGGTTGGGGGAGAGGGGATGGGGTGCATGTAGGTGCAGGGATTGGGGAAGACTGGGACACTCTGGCCTGGCCTTACCAGCAATGGGGCCTCTCTAGTAATGGGGACTGGTGAGGCATCTCCTGCAGTCCCCTTCAGGGAGAGGCTATCATGGCAAGGAAGAACCTAGAGCTAGGGGTGGGGCAAGGAGGAGAAGCTAAACTTGTGAGAGGGTATCCCAGACAGAGGGAAGGAGTAACTATGGCCAGAGCTCAACAGCCTCTGCTTAGAAGCAGTCAGTATAGCTTCTAAGAGTGGTTAAATATAGACTACCTGGATTCAAATTGGGACTCTGCCTCTTATTAGCTATCCAAGTTGAACAGGTTATTTAACCTCACTGTACCTCTGTTTCCCCATCTGTAAAATGGACATAATAATAGTACCTACCTCGTTGGAAAGCTTAATTTAGTTAAAGTCCTTAAAATGATGTTTGGCTTATAGTTACTGCTATATATCAGTGTTGATGATTGTAATTCTCAGTGGTCTAGCTCCATGCCAATGGCTTAAGTAGCTGGGAGGAAGCTGATCCATATCGGGCCAGTATTTGATGCTTATAGACCTGGCTGGAGCACAAGCCCGTTCAGAGTGAGTGAACTCCAGCTTTTTGGGGCTGGATTTGCAGAAAGGAGGATTCTTGCCCTGTTGGGTTTAGCCAAGCATCTATTCTTCCTCAGCCTCTCCTCTCCTCCCATGCAACCAGTAGCAGCTGAGCCCTGGCTGCTATCCACCTGTTTATTCTAAGAATACATCTCACTATCTGGAGACCCCACATTTCAGCCTGCCTGGGGGAGTTAGTTCACTCAGGTTGCTCCTCTCAGCAGCCAGTCCTCAAATTCTGCCCCTTCCTGAAGACCTAGTATTAAGCTGCCTCCACCATGAAGCCTTCCTGGATGACTCCAGCATTCACTGCCCTATCTCCTAAAACATAGACCTATCCTTAGAGAGTCACACTGTCTATTTCACATAGGAGGAGAAGCATCATGGTTAACAGCATGGGCTCAAACCCAGGCTGTACCACTGTGTGGCCTTGGCCAAGCTGCCTTTTCTCTGAGCCTTCATTTCCTTGTCTGTATAATGAATGTAACTAAACCAAAACTGAGCCCACTGCCATCGAGTCAATTCTGACTCACAGCGAGCCCCATGAAGGTACTAGTACCTACCTTACAGGGTTATGGAGGGGTAAAGGAGTTAGTGTATAACATAGTGCCTGGCATAGAGTAAGTGCTCAATAAGCATTAGTTTTTACGCCCCACCCCCAGAGGCCAGGGCCTGTGTTCTATGTGTGATTTTCCTCTCCCCATTTAGTGCTAGGCAAACAATGAGTGTTCAGTAAATACTTGCTGAGGAGTAAAGAAAACCCAAGGGCCATGGGGTTGGTCTTTGTAGTGGACAGTGATAGAAGGCCAGGGCTAGATGGAGTCTTAATTAAGCTCATCCAGTTAAGCCTTCTAGCTTTGCCTTTATGCATATGAGCATGGGGCCCAGGGAAGTGGTGTAGCCTGATACAGGAAGGTTAGGCAACCTTAGGGCTTATCTCTTCCAATACTTCTTCCAGGTAAGATGTCCAAATCATGCCTCTTATTAGCTTCCTGTTCCTTCCACCCAACTTTGGAGTGAAGAGAAGTGTTCTTCCTATGCCCAGTGCTAGAATAACCAAAGATGGGACAAAGAATCCTCTTCATTCTATCTCTATCTGTCCTCTCAGCACTTCTTTCCTCCGTCCCCCAAACAAAGGAGAGCTCATTAGTCGACTCTTGGTGAGACAATTCTGAGGCACATTCTGCACCATCTCCCAAATGTCCCCAGTGAGATTGAGCCCAGTTGCCCCAACCGGTGACCTGATCATTAATGGACCCTGTATTCGCTTTTTTCTCTTCTATGTCTCATTTCCTCACTTCCCTACAGGCATTTCTTGGGATTACCTTGACCCAAATAAACTACTTACATTAAAATAAAATAAAATGAAAAACCACCTTTTCTTTTTTGGCAGGCCCTTGTTTGTGGGCTGCCTCTCTCGGTGTAGACAAAGACTCCAAACTTATTCATAGGGCCTGGGAGTTAGGAAGCCCCTCACTGTCATTCCTAGCTTGCACACGTGCATATGCATACACACACATATCCATGCACACATCATATTTCTAACTAGCCCCGTGGCTTTGGGAAATTCATGCCCTCCTCCTGGATCTCAGTTTCCTCACTTGTCACAAGGGGAGCTTGTTCATCTCTGCAGTCTCTTCCAGCTTGGACATTCTGGGAGCTTGAATTCCAGTCTAGAGACCAGTCCAACAAGGCCCACCAGCCCCATGGTTCCAGGCTCTCTAGCTGATAGAAGCAACTCTATCTTTGTCCACCAACATGCACAGGGGCCCGAGACACCATAGCCTTCCTAGGTGTATCAGGAAAAAGGGTTAGCAAGAGGATCCTGTCCTTGCAATGCTTTCCTAGACTTCCTTACAGATTTGTGTGGTAGAAGGTGAGTGTGGAACCCCAGAACTTCTCTCATCAATATCACATAGTTTAAGGTTATATAAACCAAAAAACAAACTCACTGCCATTGAGTCATTTCCAACTCATAGCGGCCCCCATTGGGTTTCTGAGGATGTAAATCTTTGTGGAAATAGATTGCTCCATCTTCCTTCCATGGAGCAGCTGGTGGGTTTGAACCACTGACTTTCCAATTAGCAGTCAAGAGCCTTATCCACTGCACCACCAGAGGTTCTTTAAGGTTATATAGTGGAGGGCAAAGAACATGGGCTTTGGTGTCAGACAAACCTGGGTTAGAATCTCGGCTCTGCTACTTACTGTGTGGCCTTGAGCAAGTTACCTAACTTCTTTGTGGCCCTACTTTCTTATGTCTAATATGGATATCCTAATAAATACTTTGTAAAGTTTTTAAATTTTTTAGCAAGGTTATTTATTCTTTTCTGTGAATAATAAAATATGCCTGGCACACAGCAATCCTTAATAAATGGTGATAGTGTTTGTGGTTATTTTCTGAGCTAGAAATCCCAAAGGAATTCCCAGAAAAAAATATCACGAAGAATTGCAAAGTGGAAGGTGTTCTCAATATCTATCTATCTTTCTTATCAGCCTTCACAAAATAGAAACAATAGGGTTACACCTTATGGCTTTTCCCAGCATCCAGGCTGGCTCTCAGGATTTCTAAAGAGGAGTGAAGCTGGACTGGCTTCTTTGATGCTTCCTCCCACCCATTTTCCATCTACTGGAGCAACAACACAATGATAGGCCCTTGGTCTTGGATGCCACCAAGTCATGAGATCATGGCCTCTGGGGAATCTGTGTATACTATCACCTACAGGAAGTCCCCTTGGCTGTACCCCATCACAATGTGGGGCATTCCCTCTGTGGGCATTTGTCCAGTGCCCAATGTATAGATTTGCACTTTGAGCATTTTTTCAGGGAGCAGTGGAGTAGAGTGCTCAGAGTCTCTGTTTGGTGGGTAGGCATCAAGAAAATGTTCCTGACCTTTTGTCTCCCTCAGAGTACTTCATCTATATAGATGGTCCAAGGAAAGGGGTTGTAATCTTCATCCTAGGATGTCACAGCTGGAAGGACCATCTACTTCAATTTGGAAATAATCTACTTCAATCCACAGTCTCTTAAGGAACTGAAAGCCCATTGTTCCAGTGCCTGGAACATCACTCCTCCCAGGACACAAGCTCTGTCCCTTCAGTTTCCAGAGTCTGCTAGACTGATTTCACATTATGAAGCTACCATCCTTAGTGGGTCATATTTCAGGCAACCAGACACTTGGACAAGAATTATGTGGGTGGGATCCACTTTGTGACCTGAATGATTGCTTGCAAGCCCCTCCCCTGAGCTCCTAGAGGGCGATCCTATTCATCTTAGCTCTCTTGGGCTCCATATCCAGTTGTTGGAACAGATTCCTTGGCTAGAAGCACAATAGTATAGAGAAACTTAGGCTGACTGGTGGCATACTAAAGATGCTGCTCACAAGAGTATTCACTCAGTCAGGGCACCCACATGAATATGCCAAAAAACAGAATGTGAGTAGGACCAAAAGGAGTGGAATCTTAGAAGGTTGTGATTGAGTCCACATGACATTAGGATGATACACATACCCAAGGTGTCCATGGAGGTAATTATATACACATGAATACAGGATTTGATGGAAAGTGAAGCTTTGAGAAATTGGTGGAACAAGTGGTTGCTCAGAGGAATGCATGTGCCCAAGACCAGAATGAGCCATGTGTTGCAACTGAATGTCATATCAGAGGAGGGTCACTCATCTGAGAAGCTGGCTTGTGCTCAGAAGGATGCTAGATGCCCACTAAGCATATCTGGTCCTGGCACATATGTGACTCCCCTGAAATCCCAGTGACCACTCCAGCCTATTATTTACTCCATCAGAGTAAACTTCCTAAAATGCAGATGTTTTAATGCTAATCTTCTGTTCAAAAACCCCAGTGGGGCCCCATTGCTGGTAGAATAAATCCTACAATTTGACATTCAAGATCATTCACTATCTTTCCCCAATCTCACTTTCCAGCCTCATTCTAATCCAGTGACCTATCCACTCTGTCCACAATGAAACTCTCCCCAAATCTATTGAGCCTTCTCATGTCACCATGCCTCTACCCACAATTTACCTCACCTGAAATGCCTTCTTCTCTCATGCCCCCTGCCCTGGCCCCTCCTTTGTCTGCTTCATCAACTCTTTCAAGACTCACTGTCTGCCCCCAGGAAGAATCAGTCCCATTCTCCTATGCACACTAATAATGCTTGCTTGGCACTTGCTTTAATTTCAACAATGACCACTTTGTGCTCTAAGTATTTTTTTATGTGATTCTGTTCTGCACCAGACTATGTCATATGCACCTTTTTTAAATCACAGATGCTTATCAGATAAATGGACACCACTTAAACTCCACTACTTTCTCAAGGACAAAGATACTGG